TTTTTTGCTTTTTTTTTTCTTTTTGCTTATGTGGTGCTGAGGAATCGAACCCAGGGCCTCTGGCATGCAAGGCAAGCACTTTACCACTGAGCCACCTTCCCAGCCCGAGGACTTTATATATATATATATGTCATTATGATTATGAAGAAGCTTCTTCCTAGGACTTTATATATATATTTAAGTAGTTGTACAAAGGAATTGCCATTCAACAAAGCAGTTTATGAATATAATGTCCAGGGACATTTTTAGGAAAAGTGTAAAATACAGTTTCCACTTTCTAAACCCTACTAGTAAAAGTTGTTTTTGTGGATTTTCTTTTTCTTTCTTTTTCTTTGTGCGTGTGTGTGTGTGTGTGTGTGTGTGCGCACGCGCGCATGCTCTCATTTTGGGCCTGGCACTCAAGACCTGGGCTCATTCCCTTATCTTTTTCACTCAGGGCTGGCACTCTGTCACTTGAGTCACAGCTCCACTTCTAGCTTTTTGCTGGGTAATTGAAGATAAGAGTCTTCTAGACTTTCCTGCCAGGCTGGCTTTGAACAGTGATCCTCAGATCTCAGCCTCCTGAGTAGCTGGGATTACAGCTGTGAGCTATTGGTGCCCTGCTGTTACTAATGGTTGATTAGGGGGAAATAGAGGTTTGATATATAAAACTTACCTTTTGTGACAGTGTAGTTACTGATAGAACTTCTTGGCAATGGCTTCCCAGGCCCCAGTTCCTCACAGGTTGAGGGTCAACTGGTCAACTGTGCATGCAGATCCTACCCAGCAAAATAACCCCAAAACATGAGACTTGGGGTTTAGATGGATAGAATGGCAGATATATTTGCCCTTCTCTGCACACAGGGTGAGGTGGGGTGGCACACCTCCTATATGGAGGGCAGTGAAAGTCCCCAGGTCTTCACAACTCCTCAAACATAAGCAAAGGTCTCTCAGAGAAGAGGAGAAGGTATTTTATTAACTTTAGAATGTGAGCAAATGGGCTGGGAAGGTGACTCAGTGGTAGAGCGCTTGCCTTGCATGCTCGAGGCCCTGGGTTCGATTCCTCAGCACCACATAAGCAAAAAGAAAAAAGCTGGAAGTGGCACTGTGGCT